AGATACCAGGTTAATTTTTTTTTTTTACATGGATAGAGTATCATTCAAAGATGGTTGGTATTGAATTTGGTGAGAATCGATGAAAAGGTTCATGTTATATAAAATTTTTAATTTTTTGAGAAATGTCTGTATACGTTGTAACTTTCACAAATTTTGAGATATCAGGTTAAATTTTTTTAGATGGATAAAATATTATTAAAGGATAGTTACTACTGAATTTGGTGAGTATCGATGAAAGGGTTTATTTTTTATAAAATTTTGAATTTTTTGAGAAATGTCTGTACACGCTGTAACTTTCAGAAATTTTGAGATATCGGATTAAATTTTTTTACATGAATAAAATATTATTAAAGGATGATTGGTACTGAATTTGGTGAGTACCGGTGAAAGGGTTCATTTTTTATAAAATTTTGAATTTTTTGAAAAATGTCTTTACACGCTGTGTAACTTTCAGAAAATTTGGAATATCCGATTAAATTTTTTTACACGAATAGAGTATTATTAAAGGATGTTTGATGTTGAATTTAGTGAGGATCGGTGAAAGAAATTATTTTAATTTTTAATCCCCTCACAAAGCTTCCTCTATGAGGAAGCAAAAATTGAAAAATCCGCATGCTTAAAGCAGCTTAAGCATTGTAAGATAAAATGATGAGGAAGCAATGTGCAAGTTTTTAATTTGCACAACTCTACTTGTTTTTATGACAGCGCGTCTCATCAATACTACAAACAAGCGCAAAATAAAATTTCTCTCGTGAATGGATACAATATTCGATATCCATAATATTAATTAATCGGGCCCAAGTGATTCCTTAATTTAAAATGTCGTGCGCTTTATCTTTCTTCCGTTTTACAAATTTAAACACAATAGAACATAATTATGTATCAATCTAGATAAGATCAAGATAATGTTTGATTATAACGTAGGACAAATTACTGTAAAACTCTTGATAAATAGATATATAAAGTGGAATTACAAAATGATCTGTATAAAACTCGTAATGAAAGTCTAGAAAACTCGGAAAATGTTCGTAGTGCTCGCGTGCGTATCGCTTTTACAAACTTTGGAAAGTGTGCATAATGCAATACTAATGAAGGAATAATGCGGGAGGTTTTGGCGAAAGAATTGTGAGCGGAAAATGCCAGCGATTAAAGCTACGCACAGTTCACAATCGGTTACAAAAGTTTCCCGCAATTGTTATCAATACCACACTAGAGAGAGATTAAATGCAATTAAAGATAAAAGGATTTAATTAGGAGATTTATGAGCATCTGTGAAACGTACGAGGCAGTATTTCGTTTAAAGAACGATTCTTTTGGGTGCTCCCATGATAATTATCCGCATTTTAAAAAAAAAAAAAAAAAAAAAAATAGATAGATAAAAGCTATCGCTTAATGTATGAGCGTTTCAGAAATTCATTATCTCTCTCTCCTTCACGTCATCCAAAAGTAAACTCGCGATAAATCATTTCTTCCCCTTATAATTACAGTTATCTCGCATAAAAGTTTTGTATTCCGACGAAGAGAGATTCGTGTACATGAGAGCCTGTCCGATCCAAGAATATAAATGCATGAAGTCTGAATAGAAATATATAAAGTCTAAATAATCGCTTCGAACTGAAGCCGAGGATCAGCAAATTATGCAGATCATGTGGATTATATTCCTCTTGATATGCATCACCGTCCGTTTAATCTTCGCGAATAACTTGCGTATTCATAGCATATATAATTATGTAACCAAAGGCTGAGAAAGTCGGGAGAGTTGTTGCTCTTTATTCGCTTTTATCGCTTTCGCAAGCATGAGACACGTGTCAATCGTTGCGACGCGTTTTGAAAATAAAATTGACGTGCATTCTTGAGCGAAATCGTTTATATCAAAACGAGGATGTCTCTGATGTGTCATCGTATCATTACACCAAAACAACTGATTACGCACACCATTTGTTTAATAAATATTTCACGCTGCATCGGCCAACACGTACGTTGTACATACAATCTAAGAATCGCTAGCTTCGAGTGACTACCTCGCGATTAATCACG